ATCTATCTGTCTATCTGTCTATCTATCCATCCATAATTATTCATCTATATATCATTTATCCATCTGTCATTCACCCATAATTCTTTTATCTATTCATCATCCATTCATCTGTCCATCCATCCATTTATCCATCATCCATATATCTTTCCATTTTTCATCCATCCATCCATCTATCCATTCATGCATCCATCCGTCTTTCTGTTCACCCATCATTCATTCAGGCATCTATTCATCGATCCACTCTGCTTCCCTCCATCCATTTATCATCATCCGTACATCCATCTATCATTCCATCCACATCCATCCATCCATCTGCCATCTATCCATCCTTCTATTCACTCATCTGCAATTCACCCATCCATCCATACATCATTCATCTGCCATTCACCCATCCATCCATACATCATTCATTCACCCATACATCCATCCAACCAACCAACCTATTGTTTCATCCATCAATCCGTCCTTTGATCCATCCATCGATTCATCCATCCATCCGTTATCCCACCACCCATCAACCATCATCTTTCCACCCATCAACCTTTATCTATCCACCCATCTACACATCCATCATTCATCCATCAATCCGTCCAACCATGTATTCATTCATCCATCCATCCATCCATCATCCATATATGCTTCCATCAAGCATTTCTGCCACTCATTATCCATTCATGCATCTGTATATTCATCTCTCCCTCTTACCTCTTCCTCCTATCAATACATCATCCCATCCATCCATTAATCCATTCATTCATTCTTGTCATCCATCTACCCATCCACACATATATCCATCCATGCATCTTTCTATCTCTCTCTCCATTCATCCATCAATCTGCGAACTTTGTCTGCTTGACGCCTGTGAGAATGTGGAAGGAAGCTGCTGCACTTGAACTGAGTTTTTTAGCTGTCAGTCATTGCAACCAAAAATGAACCGCACAGGCAAAATGCACAGCAGGCCCTCCCGAATGTCTGATAAAAGTGTCCTTGTCAACGGGCCAACATCTCACCACCACAGGGCTTTTGGACATATTGTATCACCCCTTCTGTGGGAAAACAGTGTTTTGAAGTGGCACTCCACCTGGCAGCTGCTCATGCGAGCTCTTGTAACACTCATAAATTACAAAGCAGCAAACTTGTTCTATTGCCCACAAAATCAGACACATTGGCTGTAACGCAATGGGTGTTTTATTCAGTCTTCTGCATTAACATTCAAACATAAACCAAGGCAAGTCGGCTGTTTTATTCCTCTTACAATTATTTGCATACACTGAATTTAAAAACTGTTGTGAAAAAGTGACAAACATGACATAAGTAAACATATATATGAGTAATCACACTGAAATAAATGCATTCTGAATCAATAGAATGACAAACAAAGGTTGATATGAGTTTAAAGATGTGGACATTTCTGTTGAGCAATTAAACAGACACTGCACAAAATCAGACACCGGCCCCGGGCAAACAGTTTGTGAAATGCAGATGAAAGGTCTGCCACATGATGGTCCCTTGTGTCTCCGTTCGGGTAAAATTGAACTGAACTTGAAGTAGCATAGCTTCAGTCAAAATTTGAAATCTTGTTTTTCTTATGTGCCCTATCATGGGCTTCAAGAGCAATATCACAATGATCAGCAAAACAGAAATAACCCTAACGTTATTTTTACAACTGTAAGGCCTCTCTTAAAATGTTCTCCAACATATAAAACAACTATCCAGCATCAATCACTATTTCCGATTTAAACAATTACCCACATAAAGAGATACTGTAGTACATATTATACTGTTATTGCATAATAATAATAATAAATAACAATAATAAAGTGTATATATATTATAATATTTATTACAAGTATAGTAAACTGATAAACTAATACATACTGTGGGTTTTACTACTCTAAATGGTGGTGTATTGTAGCATAATATACCTTATAGCTGTAGAGAGCGTGGCGTATTTGGGTTTATATTACAAAATTATTGTTATTAAAATATTTATATATTGTTGTTGCCATTGTATTTAACCACAACTGTATAATTATCACAACATATTAATTTATCGTACTATAATACCATATTTATATATTATTATTACTACTATAGTTATTACTGTACCACAGCAACTGTAGATTTACCACAACATATAAATTAATTTACCTTACTATAATACCATATTTATATATTGTTATTACCATTGTATTTAACAACAACTGTAGAATTACCACAACATATGAGTTAATTTACCTTACTATCATAACATATATATTGTTATTACCATTGTATTTAACCACAACTGTAGAATTACCACAACATATAAATTAATTTACCTTACTATAATACCATTAGGCATGGGGTGGTATAAGATTTTGACGGTATAACCTTGGATAAAAATATCATGGTATTGTGATTACTGCTCTAAAATATGTTATTTTTAAATGTCTGGGTAAAAAACAAATACTTTTTTTAAACACAATATAATTTATTTAAAAAAAACATTTAAAATATTTTGGAACAGCAAACATGTCAGGCTAAATAATTCTAATTGAAAATTGACTTCTGCTGTCTTCATTTATGTCAAAAACAGATTTTATTTTTTTACAACTTAAAATGGCATCTTTGAATATCTTTTTCTGCTGGAGATACTGTTGCCCCAAAAATATGTAAATAAAAAATCTTATACATACCTCAGCAATGGTTTTGCAAAAAATTGACGTTTTCAAACCGCTCTATACCTTGAAAACGGTTATAGTCCCTTGCCTAAATACCATATTTATATATATTGTTATTACCATTGTATTTAACCACAGCAACTAGAATTACCACAACATATACATTAATTTACTTTATTATAATACCATATTTATATATTGTTATTACCATTGTATTTAACCACAACTGTAGAATTACCACAACATATTAATTAATTTACCTTACTATGATATGGTATAATAATATTTACTTTAAAATTTGTATTTCACCTGGGTATAGACCACTAAAGGAGTTGCTCTCATTTAATAGTTAACTATCAGCTTATGGAGAGATGTTTTATGCTTATATAGATATGCTACAGTTCGTGGAAGCAATGTAGACAGGATGCAAATATTTGCAGAAAACGTATATTCTCGACATTATGATAGATATTTTTGGCTTTTAATAATTCACATACTCTTTTGTTTTTGCATGCTACATATGGATTATAAAATAGTGTTTTGACAAACCTAGGTGCATTACTTTTCATAAATATTGTTTTTGTTTGTTAGTTTACTACACATACATGCTGAACTGACCACAGACATGCCCAAACACGTTTGCAGATTCTGCACATTTAGGCGTCGATTTATTTACCTTCATTTGTTGCTGACAGTCGATATAAACCCGTCTTGAGAGCCGAATATTGACCATAAAATTTCAATAATTAGATTAAAAATATAACGCGTGATCAGGCGTCGCGCGTTTCAAAAAAGATTATCCGCAGGCGCGCAACCAGGAAGAAGATATCTGGCATGATGGCATCCTAAAAATCATAAAAACTGTATTAGAGTGGCAAAAACATCCTACAAGTGGTTTTCTTTAGCAGAAAGAGAGGAAGAGCGAGTTTTAAAAAAGAATCGTAAGTGCTTGTTGTCATCGAAAGCGCCTAAATTTGAAAATCCTGGCATTGCGCGCTGGCGTTTCCTCCCACTAAACTAACGGATCTGCTGCTTCTGCTCGACCATGAAAACTCTCAGAGAGAGTCACCATTTTATCATTCTCTATCTCATTTTATATGGTGCCATCTTAAAGATCAGCCCATATGGCGCAGACCCCTTAAATAAAAGCGCATTATTTATACATATATATCCATGATCATAATATAGCACTTACGTACGATTTCGTACTCCTGGTTTTGAAATGAATGACTGCCACACACCACATGTCAAAACATTTGTTTTATATCACAGCGAGAGAAAGCACAGCAATAACGTGCCCACATAAGACGCATATTTATATTTGGATTTCACTTTAGGCTACATGCGTTTCTATTATGTTTGGTTCGATAGCGGTCAGTAACAGTTAGATATGAGGATAGCCGAGAATATGAAAAGGATTTAATAATCGGTTGTAAAATAAATGTAAATCAAGTTCCGGAATATGCAAACTTTGCATTCATATAGTTTGGAGGAAAAAGCCCTGTTTGAAATGGACTCTAAATATAATAAACAGCGTTCCTGCATCTTAATTGTAAGTAACTTATTTTTCAAAGCTATCACTCGATGTCAAATATATGTTTGATTAAAAATATCAGGATTTTTAGAGTAGAGAATTTGAGGCCCGCTTTATATAGGCTACCTGACAAATATGTAAATGTACAAAATATCAGCAAATATTCATGTTTTGTTGCTTGTAGTGTTTTTTAGTGTTAATATAAAATGATTTTATATTAAATTAAAAATTTAAATTAAATTAAATATTGATTAAACAACATAATAACAAATCATTTAAAAATAATAGCTAATAATAATATCAATTACACATTTTGCCAAACTACATCAATTTAGCATACTTAAACATTATTAAGAAAAAAATCGTATAGGCTAATGCTTTTTTGACAATCCCAAGACAGTTTTAAACCCCACTAATATCTTTATAAACTAGGCCTATATAAAATAGATTTTATTTAAAAAATTGTTTTAAAAACTTATCATTTTTTTCTAACTTTTTAAGAAACACGGATGTACAAGAAATACAAGGTAGCCAAATTGACCCACTTTTTTAAAGGTATGAACTTATTCTCCTCATGTAAATCACCGAACAATGAGAATTAGTTTATATTAAATTAGTTTCTCTTTTCTACCTGTGTAAAAAGCTTATTATTGTTAGCTGTATCCTCTTTGTGTTTACAGAGGGAACGGCAGACTTCTCGTGTTGGTACACAAATACACACTAAAAATATACAACCGCCACCGCTAACGTCAAAGTATTTTTCTCATTTAAACATTAGACAACATAAAAACACTTACCCATAATCAAATTCAAATATTTTAATAGTCACATAAAGGTGTTTTAGGCCCACCCGAATTCCAGTGACACAAGGCCAGAGTTAAACACATACTGAAACCGTTTCAACAGTTGTCTTTGGTTATTTGGCAAGATTTTAATATTTTCAAAAGCGATAAAAAGACAATCCTTCACAGTTAAACAACAGTTAAAAAGGCATTAATTACAAGCAAAAGTGCAAGTTGACTGTGACAAAACTAAACACAGCAAAACTCATGGCAGGGTGCTGATTTTATATAGTGCAATTACTTTGTTTTTGACAATCTCAATTAATCTACATTTAATTTTTTGTGTTTGTTATGAAACAGCACCCATAGAACAAACATGAGCTCGAAAGTTAGAGAAACGTATGCTATATACAAATCTAAAATGGAGGTGACCTGAAAAATATCCCGTTGACAAAAAAAAAAGTTAAGAGCCATAAGTCATCGGAAATGTTAATTATTCTTCACCCACAAAAACAAACAAACAAACAAACAAACAAGCCCCTGAGCCCAATATTTTACACTGCAATAAGAGGTAGTTGGCTGAATATTCTGCAATTGCAATAAAGCGCTAATTCAGCATTGATCCGCTACCTCTGCTACACGCAGGCCCACAGTCACAATCTCTGGCTGGATTGTAAAGACGCAATGCTCTCCAACCACTCCACAGTTCTGTGTTTTTGGTGCATAAACGCCAGGTCACGAGGTGTGTACCCTTTTGCGTTAGCCAGAAAAGGCTGCGTCACGCAATGCGTTACGAGAAACTGCACGACATCCAAGTGTCCTTCGCGCGCCGCCAGATGCAGAGGCAGGTTGCCGTCGTTGTCTAGGAGATTGACATCAGCACCGTTCTGCGCGAGCACGTGCAGGGTGTCCAGATATCCGTCACGCGCTGCATCGTGGATGACGGTCAGTCCTAGTATGGGGTCGCGCACGTTTGGGTCTGCGCCAGCTTGTAAAAGGGTCTCCGCGATGCTCGGGCAGCCAAGTTTCATCACCTGAGATGCAACACAAAGAGAACACGTTTTAGGGTCTTTAAATATTAATCAGCTTACAATTAAAAATTATTCATTTGACTTATATTTTTTATTAAGGTAAGTGCACTGTAAAAAAAATCCTGGTTGCCTTAATTTATAAGCTGAATCAAATTAACCCGAACTTGTATTATGTTAAACTTAAAACTTATAAATTATAAAATTAAGTTAGAACATGATTAACTTAGTCTAATAAGTTAACATGACCTAAAACATGTGCTGTCAGGACTAATTGATCGTATAGTTTTTTTTACAATGTGGTTGCAAACAACTTATATGGTCTGAATTTAAACAAACATTACATTAAACATTGGTATTTTTTATTAAGCCCATACAATTAGTTTGCAACCACTTACCTTTAAAATATAGTTAGGGTTAGGGTAAATTCAATGAATATTTTTTTTTCAGTGTAATGCACACTTAATTTTTTGTTGAATGTATACATTTGTGTACATGTGTACGTTGAATGTATTTGTGTTGCCTGTTTTTCCTGTGATTTGTGTAATGTGAACGCTGATGTGGTTGTGTGGTGAAGCCAAAGATAGATTTCCACTTATGGACAAAAAAGAAAGTAATTTTTTTATTTACAAGCTTTACGTGTATTATTAATAAAAAACATTATTTAGAATGAAAATATATACATGCATTAAGGAAAGTGTTTAACAAGTTTTTCAGCATTCTGCTTATACATATCTTTATGACAGTTCTGAGAAAGAATGTGCAGCTCTCAAAAGAGATTTTACTTTTGTTTTCTTGTAAGTTGATGGATTGTAAAAAGGGAAATTGCTTGTTTGAGAGAATAAGTACGACTTGAAGGCTGTGAAATAAAAGTGTGTATGGCAAACTATATCAGAAATCGAGCACAAATCGATCTCTTCAATTTTAACTGATCTCTAAAGATAAAAAAGTATCACTATGAATTGATTTTATGGAAATACTACCAGGAAGTTTACTACATCACATAAGTATTTTAAAAAGGCTATAAGGCTCCATTTTAAATGACTTTAAATTTCTGTTTTTAGATAATTTTTATGCATTATTTTTGATTATCTCATATTTAGAAACCAAATAGAAGGTGTGTATTTATTTATAAATATATTTGTCTATCAAAATGACCTACTAAATTTAAAAAAAGCTGATAAAATAATCAAAACCTTACAGGTAGTGACCAGTCACATTACATAAAACTCAAAATTTTCCTTATTCGTTCATATTTTTTATTCTAAGATCGTAATGTTGATAACACAACGTTTGCGAATATTTGATGTGACCTCCACTTATAAATTTGTCACATACGCATAAGCAGAAATTGCTATATGCTACAACATCGAGTATGGGGATTACCCAGTGTTCGGATAAGCTCTCGTTCTGAATCTTAAAAATATATATTGTGAGATTTTAACACAAGCACATGAGTAATCTCACAATATTTCAACTTGACCGAAATTTAGCAGCAATACTGTGTCAGGTGTAACATTCGGAGATACAAAATATTATATTTTAAACTAAAATAACATTTTTAAAACTTAAAAACAGGCTTTTGGGATTCGATTTTATTTTGTTCCTCTAGAGGGTTATATGTCATATAAAAGGAAATAACAAACATAAGCATCTACAATCATTTCGGGCCTTATAAAACTGGAACTGCATGATCATTAAAATACATGCAAAGTTTTCTGTTACATCTACAATCTGAAATAATTATAAAAAGCTGCCAAACATGTCAGGTTTCGTGTAGCTCGTGAGCTGATCTATACGGTGATAAAACACTTTTCGGTTTCAACAATAAATAGGCTATTGGAGAACAAGTGACGCACATTTGTTGGCATATAAAAATAGAAATAATTTGTAACAGGTGCGTAGTTGGTTCTCAGGTAAACCTTTTGATTTTTTCAAAAAGCCACCGGTTTGGTCAGAAGTAAATCAACCAGGCCACTGCTATAGTGACTGGAAGAAGGAAAAGAACAAGCTGTTTTCCTGAAGCTGATGCACTATGAATTATAAACATCGTGTTTTTTTATATGAAGGTTGTAGGTGGAGATGTGCGTCTAACCTGCAGTGCTGTCCTGCCATATTTATTCTTCTCGTTAACGTTCACGTTGCTTTGAAGTGTCTGCTCAACTTCCATCAGATCCCCAATCGCAGCTGCAGTGCTCAGCCTGTCTAAAGCAGTGTCCTCGGCCATTATATCCTGACAAAGGAAAGTAGAATATCTCTGATTTTGTTAATAAAAATGTCCGCTGGTGGAGATATGGAAAAAGCACTACAAAGCAGTAGTAAATAGTCCGATCCTCCAGCCCCCCTAAAAAATATCCGTTGGAGATGCGCCAAGGTCCACCCACATTAGGCTAACATCGTCCTACTGAAGCCATCGGAACCAGTGGAGAAAACAGAGATGCGGAGCCATCTCTAATCAAAATAAGAACGATCAAGAACAATTAAACAAAAGAAACATCCTCTTTTCTGCGATCGACGCCCGTGCCCAAAAATGGCATGAATGTACTGTGGTCTTAGTCCAGATACTCGATCTCTCGCATTCAAACAGATTTGCAGTAGTCACATGAAAATGATCGGATCCGAGAGGCAAACTTCCCTTTCATATGTCCTCTGATAATATGCAGGTGCAATGGGCTGAAGAGCTGCGATGCGTTCGTGGTATTCGCAGATGTAGTCATTCCGAGCTTCTTCCACGACCTCTGAAACAGAGAAAGGAGCCTGTTACTTCGCTGAGAAAAAATATATTAAGCATCCAATCAATTTGCAACGACGTGTTGTGAGTTTTTTTGAGAGCTTCCCGCCAATTTTGAACATGAAACGTCAAGAGTCTTCATTGATGTGCACATCAAAGACCGCTGGCACCACGAAAGGCTTCGTACTGATACTAGTCCGGTGTAGCGAACTGGCACGCGTGCAAAACATTACTAACAGTGTTTCGGTATTCGCATTTCAAAACTCTAGGCTTGAATATCTACAAATGTTCCGCCGTAGTGATTCATTAGAGGTGCTTTACACTTCTGTGGAGGTTCAGCCGCTGGTCGAATCATTTGAAATGAAACATTGTATCCAGTACCTGCAGAATGGTTACATCGCTGGCTTCGGTTTATCCTCTTCTGATGGCTCTCGGGAGTTCAATACGCTGTTTATAAGACAGCTGAGTTTGTCAGAGAGTCTGCTGCTGTTTGACATCACTCCTTTTTGAAATAAAGGACCGACACTTCCGCCCATATAGAGGCGGAGCCGCTGGGACTCAACGGTAATGCTGCTGGGACTCAGGGAGAGGCTGATCCTCCTGACCGAAAGAGAGATGCACTTTCTGCTTTCAGTTTTGAATACGCATTCGCCTTTCCCGTGTAATAAAGCCTTTACGACGTTGGTGTTACCAATATAAGTTTCTTCTTTTGAAGTTGAATTAATTCAAGCTCCTCATGTGAAGAAAACACTGTAACAGCACAATGGGTTATATAGTCCTCCGCGTAGTTTGCCTATATTTACATTATGGCGTGTTTATCCATTCACCACACACTATTAAACTTATTATTAAATACATGATTTTAAAATCAGCTGAAGCTATAGAGTTTTTCTGGTGTTTTAGTTTTCTCTCTCATTTTTGAAACAACCACAGCAGATTATGATTTATCTGTTGCTATTTTTAATGCAAGGCTGTTAAATTCACAGTTTATTTATGTTCAATTACCCCAAAAGCTTTAGTAATTTAAATTGTAGTCGATGTTTCTGGCATAGGATTGTCTAGCTGACCTCCTGAAAGCAGTTTGGCTGGAAACGATGGCCTGATGTACTAAATCCCTTCAAGCCCCTCTAAAAACCAGGCAGGACTGCTTATAACTAAGCTGGTGTATGGACCATTTTGAGAGATGTAAACGAAACAATGGTCCCAATATATTTTAATTTCTATAGCCACATATTGATAGATAATTTTGTGATAGATGTTTTAACATGTAGTCATGATTGAATTGCCTCTTGTTACAGTTATGAAATAGTTTGATAACAAGCAGGAAATGTTCATGGGTCACACTGAAATGGTTATTATGCATTTATTTTTGTTGTATTATTTGTAGACAAGGTTGTTGATATCTTGTTGTTTTTCTTTTGTATGTTTACAATAAAATAACGTTTAGGTAATTTAATTGCATTGAACTTTAGGATGCCTTTGCTTAAGATGCTCTGACACATTTAAAACGGCCCCAAACCAATCTAAACCAGCAATGGTGTGATTGAGAACACCAGCAAGCACACATTTATATCCCTGGCATAGATTACACCAATGAAAACTGTTCGTTCATCAGAATGTACATACAAATTTAGTCTAAACAAGTGATTTATTAAGAGTTTGGTCTTGCCTATCTTCTTGTTTACAAAATAAAAAAAGTTATTTTAGGTGGTTGCACAGTGTAAACAGAACTTGTTACAGCTAAAACAACAATTCGGATGACTATGTAACACGGAAAAACATATATCTTAAAAGCTTTCTATTTTAAAATGGCTTATGCTAGCCAAACCAATCACTTGCAAATATCAGCCCATTCAAACTCAACGGCGGCCCTACGCAGTCCTTTTCCAACGATGTTTGTGTGGCGCCACCTCCGCGACAGTTTGCAGCACTTCTTTACGGCAGCCGTAAGATGAATTTGAACGCGATCTAGAACAGCAAAGTGACGATAACAGAAAACCTGAAAGCCGACAAACACTGACAACACGGCCCCGAAGAGCAGCATTCGCACTTAGTTATTTACCGCACGCTGACCTGCCGTGTCCCGAGCTGCTTTTTTGAAATTGATGGTTGATATTGTGGGGCTTTTTACATGATTCGTTAGCCTCTCTCTGCAATGGCCTCCGACAGCAACATGGACAGAGAAATGATCCTGGCCGACTTTCAGGTGGGTTTTCTCACATCAATACCCATGACCTCTGATTTCTCAAGCTCTGGATGTGTAGATGTGAGTCGTTTTTATGTGGTTGCTGAGTGTTAACCGGACAACGGCTTTTGAAGTCACTCCTTTTTGTTGACATGTCTCGAGATGATCAGCTGTCAGTGGCTTTGTTTGAGTTTTTCAGCAAACACGAAGTCTGGGCAGCACATGATTAAGCAAAATAACAGCAAACCGCGTGAAATATATCATTTTTATGTGGTCAGCTTATTCAGATATGGAAAAAATAAAATACTGTCATCTGTAGCCTGATCTGGCGTTGACCATGTAATGGCCAGAGGCTGTCAGATGACTCTGCACGGTTTTCTGTTTGTACACTGCCATTACCTGTCACATGGATGGTTTTCAGTTGGTTTGGGTCAAGACCTGACAGTTTAGTTGTAACTTCCTGACATATTGTGTGTTTAAAGTTAAATTGTTATTTTATTATAGAAGCAGATATAGCTCTAGAGTAAAGAAATAGTTAAGGAGGTGTAGACCCAAGTCTATTGCTGCCTTTGTATACTGTATGCTTTTATGATAAATTCATCCATCCATCCATCCATCCATCCATCCATCCATCCATCCATCCATCCATCCGTCTACCCATCAGTCCATCTACCTATCCATCTATCTGTCCATCTATCTCTGTATGTAGTATGGTTATGCCTGCTAATTTAACAAAAAATATTTTATTATCATTTTCTGAGATGTATGTAAGTCCAGTTATTTAAATTAGAATTCTAATATTTTATAGAAGCAGAAATAGCTCTAAAATAAATATTTAAGGAGGAATTGACCAAAATCTACTATATGTATGCTTTTCTCATAAACTTCCATCCATCCATTCTTACTTCCATTAACAAAATATTTTTCATGTTCAGTTACCCCAAAATCTTGTAGTGTAATGTACAATCATAAACATTCTATCTATCTATCTATCTATCTATATCTATCTATCTATCTATCTATCTATCTATCTATCTATCTATCTATCTATCTATCTATCCATCCATCCATCCATCCATCCATCCATCCATCCATCCATCCATCCATCCATCCATCCATCCATCCATCCATCCATCCATCCACCCACCCATCGTTATACCTGCAGTATTAATTAAATAATATTTAATCAACATCAATCTCTGAAATGTATCTAAGTCCTGTTATTATATAATTTCATTATCAGTTATTATTAATAAGCCAGTATTCTAAAGATGTTTTTTATTACTCATCATTTTAGGCATGTACCGGAATTGACAACATTGCTGAGGCGATCACACTTCTAGAACTAAACAACTGGGACTTGGTGGTAAGACACTATTTGTTGGTAAAATCTGTAAGACTGACTCCTAGGTAAAAGAATTTCAAGCCATCCAACCTTTTAACATGCTTGTTTTGTTTCCTGCTTATTGTTTGTTTGTGGATTGTGTTGATGAATCGGAGACAAAGCCAGTGTGTTTAGTGCAAACACTATTTAATGGGACCATTGTTCACAGAACATTCTGGCGCAGTGCTGTGGATGTATTAGCAGCATTCCTATATATAAGCTAGCACATTACTGAATTTACTCATCAATGAAACATTACTAGTCATGTTTGTAATTCAATACCTTATTAATATTTTGCCTGTACGCTTAGCAGAAATCAAGAATTTGTTGTTAGATACAGATCTGGCACTTTATTCTGTGGCTAGTTGTATTAATAATAGCATTTTTATGGAATTCAATTTAATATTATGTCATGAATCAAGCAAAATTACAACAGAATTAAACTATCAATAACCGCAGGATAGCAGGATTGACATTTAAATAACAATGTTTATGCTTTATGATAAATATCCAACCCCAAATAAAAATAGCTGTCATTACTTATTATAAAAGTTTACCTAAGATTTTACTACAACTATTAGAGCACTCTCTTTAGACCTATTTATATATTTTGAATTTTCGAACTGATGTCAGAACAAATATTCTTTTATTTACTGTTCTGCAATATTAATAATATTATAAGTCATATATCAATTCAGTTTTTTCTGTATTTGTAAAACATAGAAACATATCATTTTAAACCTTCCACAGTGGAAACAGTAGGGTCAAACTGCATCTTATCTCTGCAATTTGAAGCACATTTTGCAACATTCTTTATAGCAGTTGTTTTCAATACTGGTCCTGGGGACCAACTGCTCTGCACATTTTGCATGTCTTTGTTATCTGATACACTGTTCAGTTTATGGAGCTCTCTGCACATGAGCCAATGATCTGAATCAGGTGTGTTAAATAGGGGTGACATACAAAATGTGCAGAGCATTGGGTCACCATGACCAGGGTTGAAAACCACTGCTTTATAGTGTTATTTTAACACAAGGCTGACATTTAAGCGCATAGCTAACACATACCTCATAATTTTTTTTGTGGTCAGTGCTGACATTAATATTTAGTTACATTCAATCATGGTTTTCATTAAAAACTTTAAATTTTGAATAATTGCAAATAATCCTATTTTTAAGTGGCATTTGGATAAAAAAAAACATCTCTTTCTGTCATTTTGCATCCTTAAACCTTTTAAAATATGTTTTTTGTGTGTGTTTGTTTTCTTAAATGGAAAAAGTAGTCAATTTAGGATTTTTTAATTTTATGCAAATAATTTATGGTTTCAAGGCATAATTCACCTAAAATATTCTCTTCATTTAATTGCATTCAACTGCATTTTTTAAAAATTATTTTTATTGAACATTTTTGATTTTGAACAAAGCCCAAGATCCATCAAATGAAAAGTAAAATCAAATAAAAATAGTAATACTGCAACAATAGGTACAAAATCAGGATTGAAACATATCTGATACAGTCTCTGTCATATTTAACCAATATTTTAGTTTTCTTACTGGCACCATTTATTTTTTCTGTGGTGTATTCCAAATTTATAATAATAATAATAATAATAATAATAATAATTCCTTACATTTATATAGCACTTTTCTAGACACTCAGGGCGTACTCGCACTACTATGTACAGTTGCCTTGAACCATGTTAAAGCATGCTTGTCCCTTGTCCTCATCCACCACAGTGTGCAGCAAGCACCTGGATGATGCGAAGGCAGCTATATTGAACCAGACCGTACACCAATTGGTGGAGAGGTGACCAAGTGATGAAGCCAATTATGATATGGGGATGTTAGGAGGCCATGATGGACAGAGGCCAGTGTGCACAGAGAGTCAGGACCTCAGTTTAAAGTCTCATCCAAAAACGTCGCTCACTGAGCAGTATAGAGTCCCCATCACTATACTGGGGCGTTAGGACTCACACAGACTGTAGGTTGAGCACCCCCTGTTAGCCTTGCTAACACCACTTCCAGCAGCAACCTAGCTTTCAGTGTGTTCTCGCATCCAGGTACTGACCAGGCTCAGTCCTGCTTCGCTTCAGTGGGCAACCATCTGAGAATTGCAGAGAGCTAGCTACCAGCAAATAATGTCCAGTATATGGAGCCTCCAGGATAGATCCGCAAGAGCAGATAGATCCAGCCATATTTTCACATTGTTTCCATATTTTCAGATTGTTTTCATATTTTCAGGATTGTTTTCATGTTTTCAGCATTGATCATTCTTTGGTTGATTGATAAGGAGAATTAAATTTTTAAACTTTATTAGATTTTTTCTATCAAATTTTTTATTTATAACTTTTTTTTTTTAAAATAAATGTATGGTTAATTAATGGATCTCATAATTAAATGGCAAATTTTAAGTCTAGATCTAAACATATTTATTTTATTTTTTAATATAAGATTTCTTATTCATGAACTGCTTCTCTCTTGGTGAACAAATAGTGTTTTCTTTGTTGCTCCTAACAGGCAGAGCTTATGTATCTAGGTGTCTGTTTCAATCGATAATGTTGTTTGAACAGACAGTAATGTCTGCTACAGTCTAGTCTGCAGATACTTACATATTTTTATAGCCTTTCATCTTATCTATTGCAAACAGATCATTTAGACAGATCAAATCGGTCCTGAAAAATCCTTGTTCCAGGAACCCTTCTCTCTCTTTGAAATACAGTGTTCTTTTTTAATTGAAGCCATCTCAGTCATAATACAAGGCAAGCATGATGATTTATCGTCTTTTATATCACCTTTCATTCGCTGCCACAGACATGATTTCACCTAAAAAAAAATACGCAGATGTGACATCTGTCACACCACAGACAAAAGCAGGCTGGAGAGCTATGATTTTATTGGGTGAAACGTAACAGGCGTGTCTTCTGGCAGTTTCCATTGTGCTAATTTGCATGAGCAACCTACACTCGCACTAAAAGTGTGGCCTTCAGTCCATCCCATATGCAACAGAGGTACAAAGAATGCAGTGTCAAGACGGATCTAAAGTGACAGTACTCAAACAAACATCAAGAAACTGCGGTTTTACAGACAGATTTTCCTCCACAAAGTCGCTCTTTATCTTTAAAGTGGGGCTGTTTTACTATATTTAGCAGGGAGCTGGTTGTATGCTGGCAGCAATTCAAAGAAAGCAGGCTCAAGCGTACGCCGTGGTTAAGTGCACCTGTGAATGTGATGACTTGCTGTTACTGCGCAGGGTTGAAAAAATTAAGACGGGACAGCCAGCGAGTGTTTGAACACCCCACATGCTGAAGCCAGGATGTGTGCCGTACTCTTGATCACATAAACACCGCGCTACACCTGAGCAAATCTTACACGAGCAGTCAAAGATCTGCTGCTTGTATATTTCTCTGACCATCAACGGTTAGATCTGTGAAAATATCTGATGTTCTGTCTCTACACAGACAAAATATCATGTCTACGGCCTCTTCAGGCATGGAAAAAATCTGGGAGCATAGCAAGCGTTGCGATGTACGTCCTTGTATACACTCTGTTATTTGGCTCAATCAGAAGTCATTCCATTCAGATCTGTATCCACCGAGTAAGGCTTCTTATCACAGTCTGGCTCCAGAAGCCACTTGCTCACACACGCACAGACACAAACACATCAAGCCATCACTGTGCATTCCAATTCAGTCTGAAGGGGAAAATATGCGGTCCCCATTGCTGGATACTTGTGGTTTGGGTTTTCTACCTGAATATCTGATTTTCACCATTCAGAAATAGTCATGCTTTTATTAGCTTTGGCATCCTATAAAGCATTTAACATTTATATCAGTATGGCATTTGGGCTATGTTATGTTACTAACTGTATTTCGGATGAATGAAATAATAAAGGTAATTTCATATTATTCTTTATTGTTTATTTTGTAGTGCCGTAAAATAAATAGTTTCAAGTAAAATAATTTAATCATTTGGATAACCACAATCTTATTCAACCACAGGGATGAAATTTAGTTTAACTTTGTTTTATTGATGGATATTAGTTAGAAACTTACAGTATGAAATACAAAGAATCACAAGACATCAACTGTTCCAGTTTATCAGCAAAAAACTTTTAGTTCACATTTTCTTCCTTTCTGAGTTAAACAATACAAATATATATTTAAAAATATATTTAAAAAACATGAAACACAATTAAAAATCTATAATATAACATAATAAATATAATATAATATACTATAATATAATATAATATAATATAATATAATATAATATAATATAATATAATATAATATAATACAATAGCAAGATAAATAAAAAAACATTATAGATAAAAGTAACGCATTTTAGGTCATGCAGCAATACAACCTATTATAATTTTATATATAAATAAAAATATGCAAAATGTACAGCAAAAATAATTTCAGGGATGCAAATTGAAATAACAACATAATGACAACATCGCAAAGTTTAATTTTTTTTTGCATTTTATTTTGCACAATTTTATATTGGGCCTGTAATAATCAGTTTTTGAAAAGTGTTTTATATTTAAATATGTATATATTTGATTGATTAAATGTTTATATTTAATTAACTTATTTTTTTATTTAATTATATTTTTAAGTGCTTGAGCAAACTTTTTTCCAAAAGTGTGAAAAAAAGTGAGAAGAATTTTCTTTTTTTTCTAAAAATGTCCTTTCTATCTGGTTATTGTATAAACTGTTAATTAATTGAATTTAAAGAAAAGATACTTTATCATGACATATTATTGAAATATAAAATGAATTGTGTCATTGTGTGAGCTTTTTGACCAATTTGCTATATTATGCTGTTAAATTAATTAAAACACAAAATAAAATAAACAACAAACAAAAAATATATTTAATTTTTTAAAACGATTTATTTTATTTGTTAAACATTTAATAATGTATTATTGCAATGGCTTAGCTAATTTGTTTATTCCTTTTTTTCGGCTTAGTCCCTTTTTTAATCTAAGGTCGCCACAACGGAATGAACCGCCGACTTATCCAACATGTTTTAAGCAGCGGATGCCCTTCCAGATGCAACCCATCACTGGGAACCATCCATACGCTCTTGCATTCACACACATAGACTACGGACAATTTAGCTTACCCAATTCACCTATAGCGCATGTTTTTGGACTTGTTTTGTGACGCCTGGCTAGGCTAAATAAAAAGCTAAAAAGTACATTATTTATTTAAAAGTATAGTTTTAAGGGTGATTTAAAATGTATTTATATACATTTGTGTGTGTGTGTGTGTATGTGTGTATTTATGTATATAAATTATTATTATTATTATTATTATTATTATTATTATTATTTACCTTTTTATTTAGATAGGATAGTGGAGGTTACAGACAAGAAAGCATTGGGAGTAGAGAGAGGGGAAGGATCGGCAAAGGACTTAGAGATGGTAATCAAGCTCGAGTTGCCGTGAGCATATGTTGCCCCATTTAACCATTAGGCCAGGGGTGCCCAAACTCGGTCTTGGAGGGCCAGTGTCCTGCAAAGTTTAGTTCCTACCCCAATCAGACACACCCGGGCAAGCTAATCAAGCTCTTACTAGGCTTTCTAGAAACACTCTTGCAGGTGTGTTGAGGCAAGTTGGAGCTAAAATCTGCAAGATACCGGCCCTCCAGGACAGAGTTTGGACACCCTGGCCTGCACTAGGCTATTGGTGCCAAATGATTTAAATGTATTTATCAAACAAAGATCTTACTGGCACGGAAATCTAAAATGTTAACATTTACTGTAATCTTTCTTAATTTAAGGACTATATTTAGTCTTTTAAAATAGTTTTGGTCACATCGCAGGATTTTTTTTTTACAGTAAATGGAAATTATACAAACCTTTTCAACTTTAAAGTGTACAACTGACTGTATTCATTTTCATGTAAATTTAGTTGTGGAACCAGTGGGTAATTTCTTATCCAGTTATGGGTAGTTGCTTGTTTTACTTTCTTTTTTAAGTCAACTTAACTGGTATTTCTTGTATTCATAAATGCTAACACAAGCCCTTATTGAAAATACATTTGTGTTTTCTCTTTAGGCGGCCATCAATGGAGTGATACCACAAGAAAACGGGATCTTACAAAGGTATGAAGTTCATCAGCATCTTTCCCTCCACAAGATTATTGTAGAGATTTCACTTCATTCAGCTACATGCTCTTTTAAGTAGCCTTTGGAGTAGAGACTAATGCCGGTAAACTCCAAAAACAGCACATTACCTGAATCAAGTCCCATCTGAGACTGATGGCTCGAACGAGGTGGTTACTGTTTTCATGCCCCTGTAAAATTAAACTGGCCTCCTCTCAAAAGGGCATTCGTCTCTAAGCTATAATGAGAGCCAGCTGTGGCTGCCGCTGGTTCCCTGGATGTTAAGGAATCGAGGGGGAAATGTCAAAACAGCGTGTGTCTCGGCTTGTTGAGCCCTTTGGTAGAGCTTTTATCGTGCCTGCTCATCTGATTAGACAAATCAGAAGTCTACTCTGCCATTTTATGTCTGACTGATCAGCAAATAACCTACTGAACAGCAAAACACAAAATCCTGCATATGTTTCTTTCTGTAATTGAGTATAATGGTGTGAGGCTATGCACAATTGCTTCCATGTATAACCTCAGTAGCCAAAACAACTTCTAGTACAGCTCCGTAAACAAAGAAAATGCAAGAAAATAAGCACAAATTTAAGGGAGAGTACTTTCAAAAGAGAAAATGTCCTTACTTTTTACTCACAATCACGCTGGTTTGAAACGTTAATGAATTTCTTTCTTCTGTTGAACATCAAGCTAGATTTTATGAAGAATGTTGGAAAATAAGCGGTCATTGACACCAATAGTTGGAACAAAAAAAATACAATGGTAGTGAATAGCCCTTTTAAAAAATATATTTTCCAAGATGTTCTTCCGAATATTTTGTTTTGTGTTCAGTAAAAGAACGAAAGAACTTTTGGAACTAGTTGATGTGAGTAAATGATGACTGGATTTTCATTTTTGGGTGAACAATTTCTTTAAATCTTGAGGACAGGGCTTGACATTAACTTTTTTGATCACTAGCCATTGTGGCAAGTAGTTTTTCCAACATTACTAGAAACTCGCCATTTTTACTAGCCACACTTTTGTTGTGGGAAAGATTGATATTTTTATGCATACATTTGACGATACATACACTTTTTATTGAACAAAACGTCATTCATTTATTCATTCATTTTCTTTTCGGCTTAGTCCATTTATTAATAAGGGGTCGCCCCAGCGGAATGAACCGCCAACATATTCAGCATCTGTGTTATGCAGCGGATGCCCTTCCAGCTGCAATCCATCACTGGGAAACATCCTTACACACTCATTCAAACACGCACACTACGGACAGTTTAGCTTACCCAATTTACCTATAGCGCATGTCTTTGGAGATGTGGGGGAAACCGGAGCACATTGGGAGAACTCCACACAAAAGTGCCTACTGGCCCAGCCGGGATTAGAACCAGCAACCTTTTTGCTGTGAGGGGACAGTGCTAACCACTGAGCCATTGTGCCACCAAATGTATAGTTAATAAACTTTTAATAAAATAGGGCAGAAATAGTTTGCTATTAGGCAAATATTATATTGGAAGTGCTGATATCTTCACAGAAATAAGTAGAGAGTTGACAGTGTTTTTTCTTTACAATTTTAAATTGTTATTTTTATTAGTACTATTATTAATAATATTATTATTATTATTAAGTCCCACTTTATATACATTTTACTACACAGGAAAACGTGTAATATCTGCCTTCAGTTGCGCATAGCTCATTATTGGGTGGTGTTTTCATTTATTTCCTCTTTCAAAATGGCATGATGGGAGTGTGATCACGACTCCAAACTTTGGATCTTGAAATTTTTTAATCTGCAGTTGAATAAAGTGTCTTTTGCTAACTTATTTTGTTCACAAGCTCTAGGCAGCTGCTAATTACCAGTTTTTTTTTTTTTTACAACTTATGTCCAAAAATATAACTTTTAGGTGCAGGGGACCTATTACATTAATGAATTTTTGTAAGAAAAAAAAGAATTCAGCTTTTGAGGTGAAGGATACGGTTAAGGTTAGTGGTGTAGGTTTTATTGTGGGTTAATAGCTGGGTATCAACAGTACCCAACAAGACTTTTGTAATTACATGAAGATATTTTTGAGTGTTATAATGTAAATGTGTAAAATGCACACTGTATCAAATGATTAATTAAAATTATAGTACATATCAAATGAAGACATTTAATGTATGTGGGTCCTAGTATTATTATAATTATTATTATATTATACCATCGTTTAAAGCTTTTAACTTTAAATGATTATTTAATAATAATTATTATTAAATTATTTATTTCTGAAAATAATGCCCTAAACATCCATTTGTTTGATTCAAATGCTGTAAACAAAATTAATATTATCAAACGCAGTTAAAGTTTAGCCTGACATTTCTCTATTATGTTTAAAATGTATTTCTGTGATGACAAAGCTAAATTACCAACAGCCATTACTCCAGTCTTCAGTGTCATATGCTTCTCCAGAAATCATTCTAATATGCTGTCTTGGTGCGCATCAGTGTCAGTGTGCTACTTGATATTTATATGGAAACCAAGATCATTTTTTCAGAACATTTGACTAAAATTTAGTTAAACAGAATTTGACAATGCTATTTACTCTCACTTCAGACCAACTTAATGCAAATAAACACAAAATTAAAAAAGAAAAACAAATGTGATGACAAACATTTGTCTTATATTTTTCTATTTTAATTCTTTATTTAACAGGGACAACAGACAGTTAAAGAACTACCCCAGAATTAGCATCACAGCTAAACTTCATCTGCAGTCCCTCAATATAAGGCAGGAGGATATGAATACAGATCAGATTACAAAATAAAAATATCAACACGGTATCATAAAATAAATGACTTCAAAAATGTAAATTATACCCTCTCACCCCCTCACTTAATGGTCACACACCTGATGTATTTTTAACCAGCATTTCAAATGCAGCTTGAGTGGTTGGCAGTACTCTTGTCTAATATTAATTGGTAAACTATTCCTGTTATTAAAACTCTCACAGGAAAAACAAAATACTGCTGAACATGTATAAAAATAATGATTAATAAAATAATTATAATTATCATCTGTCTTCTGTATCGTTTAGTAGATAAGGACAATTTTGCTTGCTTCTTTAACTGCTTACAACTGAGGGAGAGAGAAAAAATAAAAGGGAGGAAACAGAAAGTGAGAATTAAATTGTGTTGCGGAAATAATTGCGGTAAAATAGCAGCGCGGAGAAAGCTGTCATCTCATTTCCCTCTGGAAGTCTGCTCCCCAGCAATTACCCCCTTCATGCCATTTCAACAGCAGTCACAGGAAATCAAACAATCAGCTTTACTGCGGGGGTTTTCATAGCGGTTGCTTGATGACCTTGTTAATGGAGGAGAACAACCAACAAAGTTGGGGCTTTTTATAAGATGTAGCCAACTGTGGGTTCTGCGGTACTGACCACATTTCACTGCATTAATACAGTAGTACTCCAATAACACTGCCTAATGTGCTGTTCAGGACAGTCAGTAGGGTTGTTTAGATGCGCACCACTGTTTCATACGTGCAACTTTTTCTCCTCTTTCTCCTTTCGCCCCGCTTTGGATCACAGTGAACGCATTCATGGTGTGTTTAGGCAGAATGTAAAGCTTTTCAGCGTTCCATCGACCAATTAAATTCTGCCAGTTGCATTGTGGGTAAGCAAAGTAGTTGACAGCTTTCATTGTTGTGCACTCTTCACTGCTTGTGAAGGTATATAGAGGGGCCAACCACCTTGGCACGGCGTTGGGCACTAAACCGTTGACACCCACAATTGAAAACGCAACAAACAGTTCTTGTTGTTTGTCTGTCTCGCTTGAAGAGTTTGTAAAGTGTTACACTACGCTTTTAGCCGTATTGAGATTCGCCTTGGCCTGAAAAAGAGAGAAATTGAACAGAAACGCACACACAAGCACAACAGCAAAAGGAAAAAAAATCTGACCCAATAACAGGAATTGAAACTTTAGACAACAAAAGGCGTTTGTGAACTCTCATTGTGTCCGCCGTCCATTTCTCCTTCCTCAACGGTCAGTGCTCATGAATGCCCCGGAGTCTTAAGAACAAATATATTCAGACGGAGCGCGCTCTGTGACGGTTTATTTAGAGGGTGTGTGAATGTAAGGGCTTGGACACGAGGACATGTTTTTCTCAAAGGCACATAATTATGAATGGAGCCTGGCATGGCGACTTCCAGCCTGTGCATTCAGTGGGTGGCTGGCACCATACTGCAGGCTGTAGGATGGCACGGTTCACTCAAGTGCCCCCATTGAGTCGCCCGCCGCCAGCTGGATCTCTGCTCGGCGGGACTGGGAGATCTACGTGCCGCTGGCAAGCCAAGCGTGTGTGTAGACTGCCATCTAGATGCTCACAGAGGAATCACTGAGCTGACTGAGTGCCAGCCTCTGTCTGAGAGCGGGGAGAGAAGGAGACGTTAGTGGTTGAAGATTATATACAGGTCACAAGATTGTTTAAAAATGGGTTGAAGATGCCGCGGGCTCCAGGACTCCACTGTTCTAGTGAGATATGAATGAATGGCCGTCCCATATCACTGCTAAAGAAAAAAAGCTGCTGGATTTGTTGTTAATCTTGAAGCTGACTCATTTGTTAACCCTGTGAATTTCACAAACAGGAACTTGCGTAGGCTGAGCTCTGCAAATGAGTTCAAAAGAAAGCTTCTTTGTGATGTTTGAGGTTCATCAGATTTGTATTTTAGTCTACATTTTGGCCTTGCCACATCCTCTGTTTTGTTTATGTTTTAGAAGCATTGTATTTATTATCTTTAAAATATATAAATATTTTTAATGCTGGGCAAACGTTAATCTCGATTAATTGCATCCAAAGTAAAAGTTTTTTTTGACATAATTTAAGTGTGTGAACTAGGGCTGGGTGATTAATTGAAAAGCAATCGAAATCGTCATTGAGATCCTATTATCAATCAATTTTATCAGGTTAATTTTTTCCAATTAGTTTCCCTACCATGTTTGGAGTCACGTGACCCCGCTCTGTTAAGGCTGATTTAGACTTATTATATTATTATTTATATTGTTATATTATTTTGATATTATATTTTTGCCAAGTGAACACGTATGGTCTAGCGCAGCCTTCGCATGCCCACACACCTTAAAAAAATGTAACTACACGTCACAATGACACATAACACAAACTTTGCGATTAGTCAGTGTGGTAGCGGTGCTAAGGGTGTGTGGCGGGGAGAGTTGCGTTTTAGGCAATGTGTGTTTTAATTTCAGTTGTTCAGCATTGATGTTCAATAAATAATCATGGTTAGTAGATAGTGTGTCTTTTCTTCAATTATTTTAAAAGCAATTATTCATCCTATGTTTAAAAAATCTTTATAAATATAAATCTATTTAAATATTTACTGTACAAAATAATTGTCAGTGAACTATAAGGGCAAAGAAATAAGAAACTAAAATAATTGTTCATTAATCATAATCGAGTTAAAATGTTCAATCAATCGAGATATTGATTTTTGTCCAAATCGCCCAGCCCTAGTGTGACCTGTGTATATTTATTGTGTATTTGTAAATACACACATGCATGCATATTTGAGAGAGTGCGTATTTATATCTAGATGTATATTACATATGCATATGATACAATTTATGTAGGTGTCATGGTGCACGATCTCCTCACAGCAAGAAGGTCGCTGGTTCGAGCCCCGGCTGGGTCAGTTGGCATTTCTGTGTGGAGTTTGCATGTTCTCCCCATGTTGGAGTGGATTTCCGCCGCGTGCTGCGGCTTCCCCACAGCCCAAAGACATTCGCTATAGGTGTATAATAAATATATATAATACACACATATATCATTATCATTCATTGATTTCCTTTTCGGCTTAGTCCCTTTATTAATCTGGGGTCGCCACAGTGGAATGAACCGGCAACTTATCCAGCATATGTATGAAATTATTATTTGATTATATCAAATAATATGTTAAAAAAAAAACTTTATATCAAAACAAACTTTTATTTTATAACCTTTGATTTATTTATTTTTTTGCCTAGCACTATTTTAAATGTAACATTTTGATTATTTTTATATATTTAAAAAAAATTACAAGATACTTTTTGTTTACAATATAATATCTGATTAATACAAACACAAGTAACCACTGGCCATCTTTTCCGTGCATACAAGTTTTTGTTTACAATATTGGTTTTACAGAAAACACTGATACAAAATATATTCAATTCAATTCATCTTTATTTCTATAGCACTTTTACAATATAGATTGTGTCAAAGCAGCTTAACACAGACGTTCCAGTAAATTGAAACAGTATCAGTCCAGTTTTCAGAGTTGATATTGTGAAACTTGTACAATAAGTATTTCTTTGCCAGTTACCAAAAAAGTGTGTATACACTGGTCAAACGTTTTGGTGTCAGTAGGATTTTTAAATGTTTTTAAATAAGCTTCTTCTGCTTACTAAAGCTGCATTTATTCAACCAAAAATACAGTACTGAATGTAAAATAAATTGTGAAATGTTATTACACTATGAAATAACTGTTCAGAAGTAGTTTATAATTTAATTTAACAGTTTATTCCAGTGATTTTAAAGATGAGTTTTCAGCTTTATTACTCCAGTCTTCAAACACATTATCCTTTAGAAATCACACTAATATTAATTGTAGTTATTAATATTATCATTATTACTATTATTATTTATGGTTATAGTAATAAAAGCAATAATGCCTGGAGTAATAATTTAATTTGAAACTACATAAAACAAGAAAGCAGTTATTTAAAATTGTGATATATTTTTAACAATTTCAATGTTTTTTACATTTAATAAATGCCACCTTGATGAACAGAATAATGTTCTTTTTAAAAACATGAAAAAAAAAATGATCTCAAACTTTTGACTGGTAGTGTATATCATTTGCCAGTATGACAAATTGACCAAAATATAAATTTGTATTCCATAATATCTCGCTTCCCTAACTTGTAAATCACTGTGACTGGTTTAATTAGTCATTTCTGAAGCTAGTGATTACTCAGCAGAGATTAAAAGCCAAACACATGAATGATTTTATAAACCAAATCAATTGATAATAGCTAATTATTACAAACACAAGTAACCACTAGGCCATCTTTTCAATGCATAAAATGTAACATTTAGATCTATTCCTCATACAATCCGATGTCATATGGCTTTGGAGTACACTGCACTCGTTTTCTATTCCACGCTATCGTATGATCTCCTGTGTCTGTGCTTTTTTTTCCATCATGCCAAGCTGTTTTATAGTACACATTGAATTATGTGACTATGTTGACATATAGATGTCACAGAGGCTGAAGCAGAAACTGTGTTTCCTTTTTTTTTTTTGCAGACATTTCTATAATTTATCCAATGTTTGGGTTTTCCTTTTTGTGTCTAACGAGTTTCTGAATGCCCCCAGAGCCTAACGTCTTTAACCTTTTGGTATTGTAATAAGGTGGTATAAAGTCAGGCATTGTGTGCTGTGCCTGGCCCCCCGCTCCTGCTCTTACAGCGATATGTGCTGACCCTGGAGGAGAAGAGAGGAGCCTTTGTCCCACCAGCGCTCAGAGAAAAGACATTATTTACTGCCACAGGGGAACACGGGGGCATGGGGGAATTCAGCCATCAGCCGCTGAGAGAGAGAGACGGAGAGAGAGTGAGGGCGCAAGTGCCAGAAAAAGCCGTTTGTGTGGCTGATTTTCTCTGGGTTGGACAATCGAGCGTCTGTTGGGCCCTGCCCATATTATTATACCAGTAAAGCTTGTTTACATTGAGTCTGATACTGTTTGGATTTTGGCACTGAAGGCATTGTGGATCATGCATGAGTGGTGTGAGGAAGTGCAAGCTTTTTTTGTTCTCTATTTTGGTTTTCCTCTTCTTTACTTTATCTATTTCCTTTTCTTCCAAGCCCCCTTTTCTGAAATAATTTGACTTTTCTAATTCGTGTGATCAGATAATGCAAAAATAAAATTAACAAGATGCACTGTATTCGCATTAGACTATAAAACGTAAAGAAAAGCAAGAGATTTCTCTCAATACATTACATAAAATTGTGTTATATGATCACATTTATATGCATTTTAAAGAGTCTCTATTATGCATTAAAAAAGGTCATATTTCATTTTGGGGGTTTCCAACAACAGGTTGATATACATGCAAGGTCAAAAAACACTTTCATTGTCTTATAATACACATCTATTTTGACCTGATTATCCCATCGTCTCCCATATGATTCGTTTAGTGATTCATTTGTTCTCAAACCCCTGCTTATCTTCACTGATTGGTCCGATAACTTAGTCTATTGCGATTGCGACTGTCTTCAACGTGAGACAGAGAGAAATGCTCACCACGCCTTATCAACAACTTTGAAGTAGTCAGAGTGCAGAGTGTATGTGTGAGTCTAATGCAGGATTGCAATAAAGCAATGCTTTAACACCAGCATATTGCATTATTCTTAACCATAAGTAAAAACAGGGTCACACTTTGTATTAATCCACAGTGGCAAAAGTTGAATCTTTTTGAAACTTGACTGCCGCATGTGTGTAGGAACAGCTGACGCTGGCCATAGCAGTGACGAGCAGCAGTGGATCGCGAGCGTCGCGTTTTCAACATGGCTTGAGATACGAGAATATAAAGTGTTAACCAGACACATTCTAAGCGGTGACAAGTAACAAAACGCAATTAAATACATAATTTGCAAGCTAGAGAAAACAAGGAGGCAACCATTTTAATTGCACTTACACTTGTGAAATAGAGGAAAAAACTTGTCCATGAACTGTGTACTGTAAAATTCCTGTCAAGCCTTGACAAAGTCCCATACATCAATAGTGGCCAATGATTCCCCCGTTGTAGATTGCTGAAGCACCCATCAGAAAAATAACGAGAAAACAGCAGAAGGCTGGGGTTATAATGCTGAGGAAAAATAAACTTCCACCACTGACTCCTCACAGCCTCATCTTCGGGTTGGGAAATAACACTAACTTTCCCTCACACTTCAGAGCACAGCATCTTCTTTATATATATATATATATATATATATATATATATATATATATATATATATATATATATATATATATATATATATATATATATATATATATATATATATATATATATATATATATAAATATAGTTTATGTATTATTATTTATGTAATTGCCTCCACAATAAATATACTTTAAACAATGTTAAACTTGCCATTTAAAAAAGAGAAAGTAATATTATGTTAAAAATAGCGTATACAATTAGTTTTTTTTGACACATTAAAGTATGTCACTAAGAAATAATAATAAAAAAAAATTGTATCATTTTTTTTTGTGGCAAGCAAAACAAAATCCATTGACCCAACCGGGCCATTAGAAATAATCATTAGCGTTTAGCCCTCTATAAGTCTAAAATTTCATACAAAATGGTCTTAGAAAGTCTTAAATGTGACCTGACAAAACCTGCAGAAACCCTGATTATCATTATGTTATATATTATATATATATAGTTGTAGTTTAAACAAATGATTGCGTATGTGTTGTGTAAATGTTCAGTATTCTTTAATAAATGAAGTTTTAATATTGTAATTTAGTAATAATTTAGTAAAACGTTTTATTACTAAATATTATTTAGTTTATTATATTACTAATAATTAATTTTAATTAGTTAATTAATTCAACAGAGAGATGGTGCTTGTATAGAATGTTCATCACCATCTTAATTAATCCAAACAATTCTTTCTTTCCCATATAGTAGTTTCTCCAGTGAAGCATCTCAAACCGGCCCCTATGGACCTCACAGCCAATCAGAAGCCACAGCGCCTACGCCCTCAGCTCCACCTCCTTCTGCATCAGAATCAGCATCAGCATCAGCATCATCATCTTCCTCACCTCCGTCCTCCTCCAGCCCGGCCTTCTGCCCAGTCCAGCCCTCACGGCACATCGTTGAGCGGCAGTCCCGAATGCTCAGCTTCCGTGTAGAGTACAGGCAGCGCTCCATAGAGGTGGTGCTGGAGGACGCCAGCACAGTCGGTAAGCACACATACATATACATACTCATACTCATATACATATGTATACACACACTCATACAGGAACACTATTTCTACTACTTCTGCATTTCAAATAATGGCTTGCACTTCCAATTGCGGAACTTCCATTCAGCGACTGAATTAAATCATATAGGGTTAAAATAATTTTAAAGATTAAGGTCACGCTACAAATAATCTATATACACTGTAAAAACTAAGGGAGAGGTACATTTGGTTTTGTGCTTTATTTTGTGCTGTGAAAATAGCGTTACACTTTAACATTTTAACTTGACATATTAGTATCACAAAAAATTCATTTGACAGCCTTTTTGAGAACAAACTGTGTTTTGTTCCTCTTTATTATTTTATTATTGGATAGTATTTGTTTTTAATATTGCTAAAAGATGTATTTGGAGTTTTTAAGTCCACCTGCATAAGATTAATATAAAAACGTGAAATGATTATAGTGTCACCTGATGATTTGAATAGACACAATTCATCATTTTAGATTAATTGGGATGATTTTAGGTGAGTGCATCTGTATAAAACTTATAACACATTACAAGCATGAATTAATAACAAATTAAACAAAAAACAGTGCTGCTTTGTTTTGGGGGATTCTAATAGTAATAATTTACAGCAAATAAATAATCAAATATAAAATAACATTGTATAGTCTTCATTATATGAATAATTAAATAAAATTTTATTTTTTTATAGCTACAAAGTTTGGCCAAATGTATCAAACTAGCTTGAAATGCTCACACTGTCACAGGCCCTAAAGGAACACTACGCACTTTTTTGGAAAAAGAGCTATGGGTGCAGTAAGTGATCTGCTAAAATGCTAAACGTTTAGCATAATATCTTTAGAAAGAAAGTCCCTCCCTTGCTGTCGAAAGCCACGTATGTTTATATCATGAAAGCGCACCTTAAAAATGACAGTAGATCATGTCTAGATCATGTCATTCGCCAGTTAGAAAACTTTATAGTACTTTATAGTACTACATTTCCTTACGAGAAACTGTATTGTATCTGGCATGTCTTATGTTGTGTAGCAAGCAAAACTTGTCATAATGTGCAATATTTCATGCATTCAGGGATCGCCGGTCTCACTCTCTCACACGCTGTACTAAAGAGACTCTTGTATGCTTAGTGGTTGGCTGGCAGGGTGCAGGAATTACACTTATTACTAAGCCATACAAGCTATTTCAGAGTGAATATTCAGAGTAGCATGGTAAACAATATAGGGAGCGTATCACAGGTTTTCATTGTTTAAAAATGAACCAATGTCTACAAAATCTACGTTTTCGATGCTTTAAAAAATTCCCTTGTGAAATTGAAAATAGTCATATCAGTCTTTGTCAGTATAAATCAGTGGCTGATAAACACTTCCATGCATATAGCGCATTCGTAAACCAACACAATCTGCATCAGCGTTGTGTGTCTAAAATAGTTTTAAAACAGAACGATACCTGTCTAGAAGAAATACTTCAGCCATTGTGTCCTTCTTCCTCCAGTGTGCAAAAGTAACTCCAATATTGATCCAGAATTGTAACGTTTTGATTCAGCATCAAAATCCAGGACTTTGCAGAAAGCACAACCATATTACACAGTAGTTACTAGCCGTATTGACCAAGAAAATAGAAATTCTCTCAGTCTTAATACACCATAGAGAACAGTTTTAAACAGGAAACTTATATTTTGCAGATTGTTTTAAATGAGATGCTAATGGTCTAATCTGATTCAATCATTTATGCTAAGCTAAGCAAAAAATGCTCCCTCCACAACTGGAGATTGGCTGAATGGATTAAAAAATTGTAAAACTCAACTGTTTAATGCTAGGGCATTTGTAAAACGGTTAATATTTGCAGTGACTCCACAAATCGTGCATCCTGAACTGTGGTGCCTGGTCAACTATAATCATGATGCATTGTTACTATTTTGGAACTACTGATTGTTATGTTGATGCTGAAACTATATATTCCATAGCCCTAATTCTAATAAGTTTTTCTTTTAATATTCATTGGATGAACTGTGAGTGGAATAATGCCATCTTCTTGTACCCAGTTTTAAAAAGACTACACTGTTTGTTTATATTTCAACAGAGATGACTCCGTATATCAAGCAAAGCATCATAGGGTGTAGGACAAAGATGGATATAAATGATCAGTGAAGCATCTTTTTGCCATTAATCAGTTTTTTGTCCCTCAAATAAGTCAATCTTGCAAATCCCGCATTTATTGATAGCACTCAATTCTTGGAACACGCATCATATCGAGCATCTAGTAAAAAATTATTGTGCTCTGTTACCCACAATGCTGACACGTTTCTCATATGAGAATGTGCTTTTGTTAAATGGCAATTTATCGACATGCCACCTGCACCTGCCACCTGTTGTTTTCTTTTTTTCTAGGAAATTATCGGGGGATTTTTTTTTTTTTTTGGTATTCGATTCTCAGTAGGGCACAAGCCCCTAACCACATACTGATTGTTTCATTCAGATTTCTCTGAATGAAAGTTGAATCTAATGACATGAGTGTAAACAGGAAGTGCTCCTGTAGGGGTGTGCGGCATTTAGGCCAAAAATACAGTAAAAAAGGAAGAAAATCATAGTGTTTTTTTATGTTTGTGTAAATGTCTACTTATTGACAAATGTCTGTTGCAAAATGACAGATTTCTAGCCAAACTAAGGTGATTTTTTAATTGTTAGCCCTTTTGTGTACTTTTTCCAAATATTTTTCACCTGATGTTGAAAGGTGAGTGTTTTTTCAACACTTTTATTGGCCTTTATTTTAACAAAACAAAACAGAACAATGACCACACTTTACAACCAACAAATGTCTCAACATCACAGCACATAATGAAGATCAAAAAGAAGACATAAAAATACAAAGTAATAATAATAAAAGAATACATAAATTAACCAAGGCTAATGGTGATCTAAGGTTTTGCAAAAATGTGCCTGAAATCCTGGGACCTACATATTCAAGGAAAGGTGTCCAGATCTGATAAAAGTATCACTTTTTCCCCTTGACTAGTGGGTAAAATATTCCAATGACATAGGATCAAATATTACCTTATGCCATTCTGATACTGTTGGTGGCTTATCAGATATCCATTTGAGAAAAATACACTTAGGGGCAACAAAGGGAAGAAAGTTAAACAACTTCCTGTTTCTTGCATTCTTCAAATTATTATCAGTAAGACCTAACAAAAAATTAAGAGAATCGAAGTTGCATCTTGTATTAAATATAAGACTTAATCTCCTTCAAATCTGTTCCCAATAGCTTCAACACATTTTTTAATTAACTAACTTCTAACAAGTAATTTGTTCAGATTTTGCTATGATGACAGTACATAATCAGGAGCAAACTCAACCAATATGATAGGTAAACAGCTGCTTAAGACCCTGGGAAATTAGAGCCCCCAACCAATGCCAAGAAGTCTATATTAACCATATAGTTATTTTATAAATATTATATCAAATATTGTAATATCTGTCTAACTATAAAGATTTTAACATTATTCTTTTGGTCCTATGAATGGTGAAATGTTTTTTCCACGTTCATGTGCGAGGTGTGAGCAGTTCAAGTTTATTTACAAAAAAATAAAATAAAATAAAAAAAATCTACTGGGAACAAAATCTCTATAGAAAAAGAGAATGTTTTAAGTTTCAATGCTAGGGCCCAAATCTGGAATTGCTTAGGGCCCCCAAATAACTAAGTCTGCCCCAGTGCATAATATTTTGCTATTTATTTTGCATGATATTAGTATTCAGTGCAAAACAATTAAGTGCAATTTAAAGGCTTAACTAGGTTAATTAGGTTAGCTATGCAAGTTATATTTTATAGGTTTATTTAGCCAATCGAAAAAATAAATAATTTCTTAAAGGGATAATTCACACAAAAATTAAGATGTAATTCGTTTACTCATCCTCATGTGGTTTTAAACATTTTAAGAGTTTCTTTTTTCTGTTGAACTCTAAAGATATTTTGAAAATAGCTGAAAGCCTTTAACCATTGTCTTCCATAGCAGGAAAAACAAATACCATTGAAGTCATCAGTTACAGGTTTTCAGCTTTCTTCAATTATCTTTAGTGTTTGACAGAAAAGAAACTCATAAAGTTCTGTGACAGAACTTTCATTTTTGTGTGAACTATCCCTTTAAGAGAGCTAGAAATATTGACCCTAAAAATATTTTCAAAATATTAAATGCTGCTTTTATTTCAGATAAGCTAATAGAAATGTTACTTTTGCCAGAAAATGAAATGTAATAGTAAATACTGACCAATTCCATGCAAATGTCAACCTTGCCATGGAAAAATGGAAAACAAGAAGGTTTTTGTGTAGGCTTGTATTTGACAGTATGTTAAAATACTCAATAATGTCTCTGTCAATGTTTTTAAACAATTATGTTTGACTTACCAAAGTCACACAAGTGGCAATTTTACATCCATAAACGAGAGATGTCACATCCATAACAGAGCATTTTCCTCATGAATGCAAAAATGTAAAATAAAATAAAATCAACCACTTTTGTTCTATAGAGAGACAACTCTCATTCTTTTGATTAGCATTGTTTCTTTTGGTTTTTGGGCAGTTTAATTTACAGAATTTTGACAAGTTATGTTGTACATTGTTAATCCTCAACGTTTATTGGTAATATCTTTAACACATGTTTATTTTCCTCATTTAAAATATCAAAAAGTCTACAGATTAATATTTTTCTGATCCAAAATCTCTGTGGTTAGTTATTTTGGAAAATATAAACAGATGTTTCAATATAGTGTGAACATATATTCTATGTGAATTTATGTTTTGAGATTTTACTGCATGTCATATCTAGGCATGGGCTGGTATAAGATTCTGACGGTATGATAATCTTGGATAAAAAAAATCAGTTTCACGGTATCGCAGTATTGTGATCACTGGTCTAAAATATATCCTTTTTTAAATGTCTGGGTAAAAAACAACAACTTTTTTCCCCTTTGAAAACAATATATTTTATTTTTTTAAAGGTTAAAATATTTTGGAGCAGTAAATGTCAGGCTAAATAATGAAAGTAAATCATAGACTTCTGCTGTCTTCAATAGTTTCAAAAACACAGATTCTTTCACAATTTAAAACGGCATCTTTGTATATCTTTTTTACTGGAAATACTGTTGTCCTAAAAACAAACAAACAAACAAAATAAAGTACATAAAAAATCTTACTCATATTTTAGGAATGGTATTACAGAAAATGTTGGCAGTTTTAAAACAAATCGTGGTATACCTTAAAAACGGTTACCGTCCCATGCCTAGTCATATCCATAACGCTGGAATTGCTTTACTGTGTTTAATTGTTACAAGAGGGCATTTTAATAACGTTTAAAATCCTAGTTATAAATATATGAAATGTGTTGGGGATGTGGGTAATTGTTAAGTTCTACGGAGACTGATATACAGTATTGGTGGCTTCCATCTAAACCTTGCCATTTGTAATATTTTTTTTTGTGTAATTGCAAGTTAGTTCACTATGTTGCCAAACCAGTAGCCTGTCAAGTTGTGCGTGAGGCGGGTCAATAAGGAAACATACCAAACAATTTGAAAACTGATTTTGAATGTTAATAACAGTTACTAGTACACACATGCTTCCAAGTTTGATTAATGCTACAGTGTGACATACAAACTAAATTCATTTAAACTTCCTGTAAATAAACTTTAACCATTATTGAATATAGACACACACTGACCTCTAGTGGTGACATACTGAACTGCCATTCCCTCTCTCTTTTTTCCACTGCAGGTGAAATCAAAACCATTTTAGAGACTGAGCTACAGGTGCCTGTCTCTAAAATGCAGTTAAAAGGCTGGAAGAGTGGAGACGTGTCTGACAGTGTAAGCATGACAATACTGAACCTGATTATAATCTGATGTCATGATTTTTGATTTTGTTTTCATAATGATTTTTTTTTTTTTTTGCTTACGATTAGTTGGCATGCTAAACAGTTTAGGTTGATTTTATGTCACCTTCAGTTTAAGCCTATTGTTATCTATAGAGTAGAATAGAATCAAATGGGATAGAGTAGAATTTCTCTTATTTGGACGTCAAAGTTTGAATTAAAATGTAAGTGGTTTCATGATGTTGTTTCATTAAGGAGTTTAGAATATATAGCTCCACATGAAAATGTATAATGCACTTTTTAATTTCTTTTCTTTTTAATCTTATTTTTAATGTTAAATTGCTGTCTGATCGTTTAGATAGATTAACCGAAATCAGGCAATTAATCAATAATTATTACAGGAATATTGATATTAAAATAATTGGTCCAGTTGTTTCTCTGATACTTTTTATTTAACTCTAATTTGTTCTGTTATAGCTGTTTTGTTTTTCGAGAAAGTTATACAGTATTATTAATGTCTTTGATGGTTTTCTGCATCTCCATTTTCTCTCAGACGGTTCTGCGGAGTTTACATTTGCCCAAGAACAACAGCTTGTATGTGTTAACCCCAGATATCGCCCCTTCAGCCAGCACCAGCCAGAGCAGGTATGTCTTTGTGTTGTAATTTGTGCCCTCTATTCTTTAAACGTTCCGTTTCGAAAAGGCTGTTGAAATATTGAGAACATCTATAAGTGAATATTCTAACAGTTCATAAACGTATATCATAATATAAACTATATATCACACATCAGAACTACCATAACAAATGTTTGCAATAATTAACTTTCTTTTTATTGAGATGTAACAAATATATGACAATGTATTACACCAGTCATATTTACGCTTTTTTTATTTTAAAAGAAAACAACAATAACACCAACAAAAAACAATGCAAAACCAAAAAGGGAATAAGAAACTGAAAATAACAGATTTTTCTAGATAAAACAGTAGGAAGAAATAGTTGAAAATCCAAATCATCCATAGAAGGCATGCACCAGATCATCAGTTTGTTTAAATAAATCACTCTGTCTCTGAAATCTTTCGTCTTTTCTAGTTTCATTTAATAAATTGCTGAAATCTGACTTTGAAATAAAATTTTATTTAAAATTTTTTATTCATTATCCCTGTGATTTTATTTTTATTATTATTTTTTTTAATTGGTTTACATTTTATACATTTAGATTTTGATATTTTCAAATCAGAAAAGCTTATTTATTCATACATTTAGTTTTTTATAGCGTTTTTATAGTAAATATTTTCATTTATTTATTTATTAAAAATATTGTCTTATAGAGTTCCAGTGCAACGTAACTTGATCAGCAATTAAAAGGAAACTTTGGTAAAACCTGAAGAGTGTCAGTTATCAGTCCATGTTAATATAATGTGCCATAAAACGCAATTAGCATTAATGGAGAAACCAGATTTTGTAGTTGGGATCTCTACCAGCAGGGGGGTGTTGCCAACCATTGTCAAATCAAACGTCAATCTATTTTTTAAAATCAATTTAAAGGGATAGTTCACCAAAAAATAAACATTTCCTCCTCATTTACTCAAACTCAAGTAGTTCTAAACTTTTCTGAATTCCTTTCGTCTGTTGAACCTAAAAGAAGATATTTTGAGCAGCCATTTTCATCTAGTGAAACAAAAAACTATTATGGAAGTCAATGGCTGTTTTATTTCAGCATTCTTCAGTTTATCACCCTTTGTGTTAAGCAGAAGAAACTTAAATCGGTTTGGAACAAGATGAGAATGAGTAAATGAGAGCAGATTTATTTTTTTTTAATGAAACTTCAGTCATTTAAAAAAAGCTCCCTCTTTCACCACTAGATGGCATAGCTGACCACATTTTAGACCAACACAAGAACAGCGTATGATTAGATTTTCTTTAAGGCAATTGATAGCTTCCTTCATTTATTTATTTATGCATTTGCTGATTTACCATGCTGTTTAAAAGTTTGGAGTCAGTAAGCTTTGTAGGAATGTATACTTTTATTCAGCAAGGATAAAAAGGCAAAACTGTTTATTAGTCAGTTTTCACTAAAGTATACTCACTGGTTTGAACATTGATAAAAATAAGGATCAATATCACTTTATCAATGTACATGAAAAAAAATAGAATGTATAATCTATTGACATATTAATATTATATGTAAGCATTAACATAACAGAATAAAATGGCTGATTACAACAAAGACACCGACTCTGTGGTCAAAGCAGTGTGATAAATGGAAGTAACTTCAATTAGAAATGGCTGTGTATGTGTGTGTAATATTGATGTGCATGTGTTTGTGTGTAATTATGTGTTGATTAGCACTGCTGTAAGCCCCGTCGGGAGGTGGCGGTGATGGTGTCGAGCGGCTGCATATAAACTGGCATCTCTGTCAGCTTGTGTGGACACTGTACTCTAGAGTGCAAAAACATTCAGAGAAAAAGACTTAATGGCCTGTAAACTAACATTGTGATAACAGTACCCTTCAAAACACACATTTCTTCTCCTCCAGTTATTTGCCAGCTTGTCAGCTGCATTTCATTTGGTATGGAGGCAATTTTTTCTTAATATCTACACGTAAAAAAAGAAAATGTTAATTAACAGTTTTCAGATTTTTTTTTCTTCATTTACTTCAAACTTCAAAATGAGTTTTTTTTTTTTCAGTTTTACACATTGGATTTGTATTACAGGAGCTTTGATTTTGACCTTTGCTTATGTTTGATGTCAAAATTTTTAACAAAATGAGTTTTTATTTTTAGTAGTTTGAGTTTATTTTTTTTGTCATTTTAATTAGGGGACAAAACTGGAAATGAGGTACCAGTACCCATTTTGATATATATCACAGCAAAATCACAGCAAAAATTGTTAGCCATCCTGTAAAATCTTAATTATTTTTCAATTTTGAAATGAGCAAGAATTTCACGGTATTTCCTATAATATTTTGTCTTTTGGTGAAAGTATTTTATTTCATATTTATTTCGTTTAGCTTGGTGGTAGGGCCGCACGATATTGGAAAAAACTAACATTGCAATCATTTGTTTTTTTTGTAATGTAATTTCAAAAAATTATCTCTAAGAAAAAGTTTACATAACGATAATTTTTGTTGTGAGTGTTTATTATAAAGTATGATAAACAAATTACAAGCATAAATGATTTTAATAGTCAAAGACACACATGAAGTAGACAGCACTTTATGATTAAAATGTTAAAACGTAAAATAACAATGTGATAAAATGTATAAGAACACTGTTTATTCTTCATTGCATTATAAAATATAATTAATCTTTGTGAAAGCAAATTTGATAACTTCTTGTACCCAAACTGTACCCAAATTAGCTTGAAATCTTAGAGTCACATGTCATAAAAATAAATCGGTTCGCTGTATAAGGTTAAACAAGCTTATTTTTATTGCTTATAAACTATTTCTTGGTTAATTATAATCACAACTCAAAATTGCTTATTTTGCGATGTGACTATATTCACACATTGCGCTAACAATGGCGAAACGATATATTGTGCAGCCCTAATTGACGGAAATAATTTTAAAAAAATAATAATATTAGACTAATATTATTAGCCCCCTTGAAATATGACTTTAGAACAAAACACTTTCCCAAAGACTTGACCTTGCCTAGTTTAACTAACTTTTCTTTTACTTGATCTTGGTCAAAATAACTAGCAAATATTATGTCATGTCATCATGATATAGACAAAAGGAATTATTTGTTCTAAATTAATCATTAAACTCATTGATTCATTTTCTTTTAGGCTTAGTCCCTTTATTAATCAGGGGTCGCCACAGCGGAATGAACTGCCAACTTATACACCACATGTTTTTACGCAGCGGATTCCCTTTCAGCTACAACCCATCACTGGGAAACATCCATACACACTCATTTTCACACAAACACACACACGCTACGGACAATTTAGCCTACCCAATTCACCTATACCACATGTCTTTGCACTTGTGCGGGAAACCAAAGCACCCGGAGGAAACTCACGCGAACATGGGGAAAACATGCAAACTCCACAGTAAAAACGCCAACTAACTCAGCCGAGGCTCAAACTAGCGACCTTCTTGCTGTGAGGCGAACTTGCTACTCACTTCGCCACCGTGCAACCTTAATTATTAAGCTATTATATTCCTAAAAATTAGCTGGAAAAAAAATCCTTTTGTTAAACAGACCTTAGCAAATATTTGAAAAATTAAGATTTCACTGAGCAACTGTATGTATATTAATTATTTGTTTAAGCTTCTAGTTTCTTTCAAGCTACTTAAACTGTCATTAACAGTCACTTTGTTAAACTCTAGAATAACATTCAAAATCAAACCAAAAGACCTCAGGATTAGCTTAAATATTGTGTTAGTGTTCTATGGACATGGGATTCATCAGAAAAAAAACAGCAAAAGTCAGTCCAAGGCTCTCGAAAAATATAAAAAAAATATTATAAAGCCTTCATTGACATGGCTATTCTATAAAACTGCCTACGCGTTTTGGCAAACACTTGCCTCCATCAGGGTAATGATGACGAAGGGTTACCCTGATAAGGCCAAGTGTTTGCCTAAATGCGTAGGCACACTTTTAAGAAATAGCCAGGTTACTAAAGGCTATTTAATATTTTTTTCCATACTTTTCAAGTGCCTTGGTCTGACTTTTGTTGGAGACTATTATATTCAGCATCAGAAGTGGAAAGATTAGAGGTGAAAATCTTATAATTAAGTCATAAAGTGATCAACACATTATTATAATCGGAAAATACTGGTTAATCGAAATATGGAAAGTGTTAATTAACATAGTTTTGGAGTGTAGATGATATGACCTACACCAAAAAAAACACTGGGTTCCACACAATCCATTATGTTGGGACAACATAAGGGAATTAGGTTAGCTTAGTAGTTTTTACAAATTTAAGTCGATTGAACTTAAATCAATTAAGTTGTCGCAAAAAATAAATTGTGTTGTTTCAGCTCATTTTAATTTAGTAGTTTGAGCAAACACCAAACATAATTTGAGGTGTATACTTCCTTACATTTTCCTTTGGCTTAGTCCCTTTATTTATCAGGGGTCGCCACAGCAGAATAAACTGCCAACCTTTCCGGCATATGTTTTATGTAGCGGATGCTCTTCGAGCTGCAACCCTGTACTGGGAAACACCAAGACACTCTCACATTCACACACATACACTACGGGCAATTTAGTTTATTCAATTCACCTATAGCACGTCTTTGGACTGTGGGAAAAACCGAAGCACCCGAGGAAACCCACACAAACATGGGGAGAACATGCAAACTCCACACAGAAATGCCAACTGCCCCAGCCGGGACTCGAATCAGCGACCTTCTTGCTGTGAGTCGACAGTGCATATGCTACCTAAATAAACAATTTAGAACATAAATGGTTATGATGCAAACTATTTTTCTGTTTCAAAGGCGATTTAATATTTTTTTATCTCGCATAATATTTGCTAGCTGTTTTTCATGTTTTCAGGCAATTGATGTGCCGCAGAGACTTTTTTCACTTCACTCTAAATGGCACACTATCTAATATCCAGCACCTAGCAGAGCTCATCATCAGCGGCAGACTCTAATTATTTCCTAGAAACTATTTTCGAG